GAGCCCAGGCAGGTGTGGCTCCGTGGACTGAGCACTGGCCTGTGAACCGAAAGGTCACCGGTTAGGTTCCCAGTCAGGGCACATGCCTGGGTTGTGGGCCAGGTCCCCAGTTGGAGGCGTGTGATGTTTCTCTCCCTCTTTCTCCCTCTCTTTCCCTCTTTCTAAAAATAAATAAATAAAATCTTTAAGAAATAAAAATAAATCAAATAAAATGGGCGTGAGGAGGCTGAGTCTGGGATGTCTAAACTCTCCCCTCACTCATTCTCGGGTGCTTCGGGACATGCTGGAAAGCAGCTAGGGGAATGGGCCCACATTCCTCTGCCAGTGGCAGCTAAAGACCTAAGGAGAGAAGGTGTCTTGAACCAAGACCAGCAGGGGGCTGCAGGAGTTCCGTGCCAGGAGCCTCTGGAAGGTGCCAAACAAACTTGAATTGTCAACCCGGGACCTTCAGAGAGTAAGCAGGGCCAGGAAAAAAAAAACACACACACGCCTGGAAAAAACCACAATGGGGACGGCAGAGCCCTGCACTGCCCTGACTCGTCCACTAACTAGCCTTGTGGCCTTTGGCCCGTCCCTTCCTCTGTGCACCTCAATTTCCCTTCTGCCCCATGAGGGCACCTTGCAGGCCCTCCAGCTCAAAAAGTGTTGGGAGCAGCTTTCAGAGTTCTCTTCCTCGGAGTCACAAACAAGAAGAGATGTTTTTCAACAGGTCAGGCAAAATGTTGCACAGGAGCGAGGCTCTGCAGAGGCGCCCTGGCTGAGGACAGGCCAGCCCGGGCCGCGAGCGGCCCTGAGAGCACTGGGGCGCCCACCCAGCAGGGGCGATGCCCGAGGCCTGTTAGGAGGTTCTAGAACTCTGCATTTCCTCTCCTGAGACCATCCCCACACCCAGCAGGGTAGAATCCTCCACAGGAGAGGGACAAATCACATGCCATCTCCCTGTGGATGCCTGGGGCAGGGGGAGGGGAGCTCCCTCCTGGCCCTGCAAGGTGGGGGTGGGCAAAAGGGCAGGGCATCCCGGTTTAGATCGCTGGTTTGCACTGGGCAGCATGGGATCCGAAGCTAGACTCTGCCCCTTACTTGAGCCAAGTTCTAACTACCCTGGTACCTCCATTCCCTCCCCTCTAAAATGGGGATATTAACCTTATTGGATGAGACAAGGCAATGTTGAGCACTCAGCATGAGACGGCAGGCACTGTTACAGATCCGTGGACAGGCTACAGCTGTTTGGAAAGGTCAGGGGGCCTGGGAGAATGGCAGGGGGTGGGGGGGGGGTGCTGTTGGGAGAAGGACATTGTTGATGTCTCTAAGGGTTTCTAAAGAACAGAAGCTAGGTGTCCCTGAGACGCTTCTATGCAGTGAGTGACTCATGTGTTGCCTCAAGGACACACCTCTGGGAATGTGGGGCAAAATGCTGGGCAAATGTCGCCTGGGTGTGGTTGTGGGTCACCGGTCACCTCTGGTGAAACCGTCCCTTGCAGATGCTAGATGGCCAGTCAGCAGATGACTACAGGACCACATATGCAGGTCTGCATGCACCAGAGCTGAAAAGCCTTTAGGTTTGGCTCTATCCTCTCATTTTACAGATGGAAAAACTGAGGCCTACATAGGGGTACTGCAGGCAAAACCTGAAGACAGCCTACTCCCCATCCTTCCATTGGGCATTACTCCCCAGGAAGCATCCCGCCCACTGGGACACCTACCTACAACATCTGGCTCCGGCTCGGTGCCCAGGTACCGCCCTTGGGACCGGGAATCCACCAGCTGGAACCTCTTAGATTCAAGATTCTCCAGCACCTGCTCATAGGTCTTGAGCAGAGAGCGGTCAAGGGTGGCTTTGAAGACTGCGGGCTCTGGGTGTGAGGGCTCAGATGTCACCGGGTGGCCCTCCTTCAGCCAGTTCCGGAAGCCACCGTTGAGCACCGACACCGTGCGGTGGCCAAACACGCGGAACATCCACCAAACCCGAGGTGCATAGAAGCTGCCCAGGTTGTCGCCATCATACACCACCACGTGGGTGTCATTGCTGATGCCCAGGCGGCCCACGTAGTCGGCGAAGCCCGCCTCGCTGGGCAGCATCATCTCGTAGGGTGAGGACTTGTCCTTGCACTCCTCTATGTCAAAGAAGGAGGCGCCAGGCACGTGACACTCTAGGTACTCTTTGCGCGCATCCCGGGTGCCTGGTGAGTACCAGGATCCGTCCAGTACCCGCAGGCCAGGCCCCAGCTTTCCTGACCGGACGGACTCTGCCAGCCACTTGGTGGAGACCAGCGCCCGGTAGAGCACCTGTTGAACCATGGTTTCAGCTCTGCGATTCACCTGGCGCGGGTGGGAACCGGGAGAGAGACGCGTATGAGGACCGTGTGTTCAGCGCGGTGGGACCCGGGAGAAGCTTTTCCCACCGAATCCTCCAGGGTGGCGTGCTCTCAGCAGCCCAGTGGTCTGAAGCGTGGAGTGCGGGTTCCCAAAGGAAAGCCTCTCTGCTCCGCCCCTCCCTGGGCCCCCCTCCCGGAAGACGGTGTGGCAAGAGGTCTGAGGTCTACAAGGGGGAACTGGCCCTACAAGCTACGATACTTGCCCTCGGGACCTTGCAAGAAAAGATGCCCAAGACAGGGGAAGATTGCATCTTGGGCTTCGAGCCCCCTTTCCTGGGAGGGCAGGAGCGTAGGTGCGTGGGGGAGGGTTCGCTGCAGTCCCGCACCGCCCCTCTCCCTCGCGCCTCTGGCCTCGCTGTTTCTTGGCAGCCGGGCTCACCCGCCACCAGAATGCCCCAGTCCGGCCCCAGTTCGGTGTCCTCTGCCCCCGCTGGGTCAGGGGATCCTGGGGCATCGCACCCGCCCTCGCCACGGGGTCCCGCCCCTAGGTCGCAGGTGGCCCGACCCGCGGCTCAATCCTGAGCGTCCCGGGCGCTGGTCGCCACCCCCACCCCACCGAACTTACTCGCCCTCTCCGCGGCCCTGGCTCCCGCCCCTGCACGCTGGGGAAGTCGGTGTTCAAACCCAGCCTGACACTCCCCAGCAGGCCTGAACCATAGCGCCGCCGCTCACGGGGGTAACGTGCGCCACCCGCCTCGGTCCCGCGCTGCCAGCCGTCCAGGCGCGCCCGCCTCCGACCACCACTCCGCGCGCAGCGTGTCCCAAATCCCCAGAGACCGGCCGGGGACGCCGGGAGGCACCGGGGCGGCGCGGAGCAAAGCTCGGCCGCGCAGGCGTCCCCCAGGCCTGTCAATGGAAGGCGCGGGCAACAGCGGCTCCGAGTGGCCTAGGCGGGGGGCTGTGCCCGAGTCTCCTCCCTTTGGCCGCAGGTTGGTGGCGAGAGGAGGGGACAGCTGCGGGCGCGGGGAGGGGGCACCTTGCGGCGGGGCCTATGGCTGAGCCCGGAGTCCGAGAGCCCGAAACCGGGGTAACTGCTGAGGCGTCCCGCTTGAGTGCTTTAGGGGGAGGCCGATCGTTGGGGTTGGCGGCGCAGGGTCCCTTGCGGGGCCGGAGCGGAGGAAGGGCCCGCGGTCTCGGAGGGGAGGCGCACCCTTGGGTTTGCCTTAAGCCTGGCTGTTTGTAGCGCTCGGGACGCCCAGAAGGTGGGGTGGGAGTGAGTGGCGGGTGGGCAGCCTGGATGGGGGAGGGGGACACCTGGTGCTACCAGAAACGACAGGAGGGAGGGAGGCGGGACTAAAAAAGCCTGATAGGCTAGGGAGAGGCCAACTGACCCAGAGGTGCCAGGAGGAGAACATGGCAAGGAACTTGCTGGAGCGAAATGAAACTAACTTGTGTCAGGGCCTGCGTGGAGAGGCACTTTTCTCCCAGGGTGTTGCTTAGTTCCGACAACCACCCGGGCCGAGAGGACCGGAAGCTTATTTAAAGACCTGAGAGAAAAGTTGTGCTGTTTGCCTTGGGAGCACCTCGTGTAGCTGAGGTCAGGCAGCGGGAGGTCAGAAGGTCACAGGGCACGGGTACCTTTGTTTACCTTGCCAATCTTAAGGCCTTATACTTTTAAAAATAATTGCCTTTGTTTTTTCACTGAACTGTAAGTTTATGTACTTTAATTTTTCATGGCTGTGTTTAACAACCAGTGGGCATAATTCCTGAAAATCTAACAACTAATGGGACCGCACTGGCATACTCAGCTTTTGCATGTGCTGTTACATATGCCTGGAATGCTTTTCTTATCCCCTTTAAAATATTTGTTTTATTCTGAAATAATTGTATTCTTGCAGGAAGCTGCAAAAAACCGTACTTTGATAAGCATTTATCCAGTGACACCTCTGAGCTTTGTGCTCTGCCGTGGGGGCAGAGCAGGTTCCAGGAAGGACAGGGCTGGTGAAGTCCTTGAAGAATGCCCGTCTGAGAGGGACCCTGCTCTTCCAGGGCCCATCCGATGGCGGCCCGGGGTTTGCACTTCCCCCAGAGGGGTGTTCACACTCCTGAGGCGGGCCAGGGGCGGTCCTGTCCATCCTGGAGTCCCTCACTCCCAGATCAGCACCCAGCCACACTGGTCCAGGCCTGCCCGGCACCCAGGGGCCAGAGCCCGCCCGCCCTGTGCGGCACACGCTGCCTGCTCTCCCAGGCCCTGTACCTCCCAGTCTTTTAGATTATAGATTTGCAGCTGTCCTTTCAAAGGCCACCAATGAGAATAACTGTGAAGAAACAATGGGGTTTTTATTATACTGTTTGGAATGATGATGAACACCAGTCATCACATGCAGTGCACATATAGTGCATCACCGTGGCCCTCTACATTCATGACTTAATCTTTGCTAAAAGGCCCCATTATAGGAAATAGAAATGGCCCTGGCCCATGTGGCTCAGTTGGTTGGAGCATCATCCCGTAACTGCAAGGTTATGGGTTTGATTCCTGGTCAGGGCACATATCTAGGTTGCGGTTCCATCCCAGGTCCCATGCAGTCCTGCACACACGGTCTGTGGTCCAGGTGTGTACAGGACGCAACCAATCGATGTTTTCCTCTTGCATTGATGTTTCTCTCTCCCTTTCTCTAAAACAGCAAAGAAAAAATGTCCTTGGGTAAGGATTAGGGGGAAAAAAAAAGAAAGAAAGAAAGAAAGAAATGGAAATGATGGGCCAGGAAGACAAACTTGTCCATCCTCAGCTAACTTGTTAAGCTGCAAGGTGAAATTTGTACTGATTCTTTTCGCTCTAAATGTATCCTTAAGAGGAAAAAAAGGAGGAGCCCCAAGAATGGTGGGGACCAGGGGCTGTTACGGTTCACACATTGGTTCTCAAGAGGGGGCCACCACATCCCTCAACATCACCCATCACCCAGCTGCGTTGTAACCTGCAGACTCTGGGATGGCCCTCTTAACCAAAGCCCCCTTGGCAGCCTCCACATCATGAAGGTCAAGCTCCCTGGGCCCTTGAAAAGGTCAAATCAGTTTGGATTTCCCCTTCTTGCAAGGAAGTCTTGCTGAGCAAGTGGCCCCTCTGGGCTCCCACTAAACTCCAGCCTTTCCTTAGGTACTTTGTTTCTCAGGCCAGCCTGTGGCAAGAGTTTCTCTGTATCTGGTACAGGGCCTGGCCCTGTGGGCCAAGTGGTTCCTAAAAGTCCGCCTGCAGGGAGACTGGGGGAGGGGGCTGGGTATAAGGTAGCACGCTGTGGGCTTTCTTAGGCCCTGCTCATCGCTGAGCTCGGGCTGGGGAAGGAGAGTCCAGCCCCGGGAATTCTGGCTTCAAATCCTGAGGTTGCCCAAGACCTGTTGCAGTGCTTAGCTTGTAAACTGGCCCAAAGAGCCTTCCTCCAGACTCTTGTTCTCTGCCCACCCACCCTCCCTCTTCCTCTTCGTGGCAGGACTGTGGGGTCTGGTGCAGATGTGAAGGCCGTGCCCTGCCCAGGGGTGTGCAGCTGAGGGGCTTGACCTAGAAGCTCTGCCTCCACCTTGAAGCAGGGGCGCCTTTCTCTAATTTGCACAGGGGCCCCTAGTGGACTAAGGGCTGCGTGCACATGGGGCTCAATGCGCTGGGAGCTGGGAGCGCCTGGGCTTGGGAAGGCTGCCAGCTACTGTGTGCTCAGCTGCTGGCCCACAGGGAAGAGGAGGGGAGAGGGGGTGAGGCCCTAAGTCACTGTTGCTGCTGCAGCAACAAGATCCAGAGAGAAAGCACAGGCTTCAAGGGGCAACATCTCAGCGCCTGTCGGCAAGGTCCGGATTCTGGAGTCAGACTGCCTGGTGTGCAGTCTGCTGTCACCCCTTCTCAGCGGTTGACCGTGGTCAAGTTAGTGCACTTCTGTGAGCATCGGTGGCCCCCTTTGTGAAACGTGAGAATAATGCCAAACCTCTTGAGGAGGCTCAGCAAATAGTCTAGACTCCAGAGCCTACTCGCATCCTGCTGTGTTGTACTGTGTTGTGAGGATTGAATGGGGCACACAGCGAGGGCCCAGAGAATTCCAGCTACTCTTCCTATTCGGCTGATTATGTAAATGTTCATTGAACGAGTTCCAACGGAGACCCTCCTCGGTCTGCAAGCTAGCTGGGTGCATCTAGGGAGGGGCTAGGGCTTTTTGCCGCCCCCTGCCCTTACTTTAAAGTGCTGGGAGGGCTTTCCCCTGCTTGGGCCCTCTCCCTGTCTCCCCCACTCTTCCGCCACAAGCAGCAGTGAGGGGCCCTCCTGGCTCCCTCTAGGGGTCATGGTCACTTGGTCACTGTGCTGGGTATATATCCTGGCGGGGGAGGGGAAGAGAAAACCCAGCGATATAAGTCTGCACCAGGGTTCACCACCTCTGACTTTCTGTGTTCTCTGGACTCTGCCCTCCCCCGGCTCCACCTCCCCCAACGGCCTCGCCGCAGACCCAGCCGCAGGCAGGCCTCTTCCCAGATTCCCTGCTGACACCCTCCCTCCCTGTCTCCCAGGCCTGCTGCCCCAGTGCCGCCGCTGCCACCGCCATGGCCCCGCAGCAGCTCTTCCGTGCGCTGGTCTCTGCGCAGTGGGTGGCGGAGGCGCTGCGCGCCCCGCGCGCCGGGCAGCCCCTCCAGCTGCTGGACGCCTCCTGGTATCTGCCCAAGCTGGGCCGCGACGCGCGCGTCGAGTTCGAGGAACGGCACATCCCGGGCGCCTCCTTTTTTGACATCGACCAATGCAGCGACCGCACGTCGCCCTATGACCACATGCTGCCCAGTGCGGCGCACTTCGCCGAATACGTGGGCCACCTGGGCGTGGGTGCCACCACCCACGTTGTGGTGTACGACGCCAGCGACCAGGGCCTCTACTCTGCGCCACGCATCTGGTGGATGTTCCGCGCCTTCGGCCACCACACAGTGTCCTTGCTCGACGGCGGCCTCCGCAACTGGCTGCGCCAGGGCCTGCCGCTGAGCTCTGGCAAGAGCCGCGCGGTGCCCGCCGAGTTCCGAGCCACACTGGACCCCACCTTTGTCAAGACGTACGAGGATGTCAAGGAGAACATCGAATCCCGGCGCTTCCAGGTGGTGGACGCCCGCGCCGCCGGCCGCTTCCGGGGCACCGATCCCGAGCCCCGAGATGGTAACAGCGCTGACCAGAGGGCCTGGGAGGTACCCTGGGGCGGGAGGGTCAGGCGCGCCTTGGGCACTGCCCTTTCTTTTAAAGGACACCGCCTGGGGTAGGGACCCAAGGTTTGGTTTCTAGCCACCTCACTCTCTGAGCCCCACTGGCTTTATTTCTCAAATGAGGGCCGTTAATACTTCTCCCCCCAACCCATACTTGGGGCAGTGACTACCTGAAATTTGTTGGGAACACAGGGTGCCCTGTATATGTGTGAGAACCCAGTACTGTGGGTTTAGGGTCACTGCAGAATAGGTGGCGTGGGGGCAAGCCCAGTCTGGGAGAAGTGCCAAAGAGATGCAGCCTAATCCAGTCTGTGCTATCCCTGTGGGTGACGGAAGAGGGACTGACAGTTAGAGGCTGCTGCCTGGCGGGGGGGGGGGCGGGGGGCGGGGGGGGGGGGGGAGGGCCTTCTGCCTGGAGCTCCATTCTCCAGGCAAGAAGCCTGCAGGGAAGCCCCGTAGGAGGCTGGGAAGGGTCTCCACCAGTGGGGGAGTCAGCAGCCACTTGGTGTGAGCTTTTTAATGATCCATCGAGGTGTCTGTGTCACCATAGAGAAGAGGAGGAAATGGAACCTTAGAATAGCGATGTTGCCGTAAGTGTCAGGAAGCAGCCTGGCCAGGTGTGGAACTCCTGGAGTCCTTACATTGAATGTCAGCAAAGGGCCAGTAATTCCCCAGCCACTCCTGTGCCTACATCATGGGGGGGAAGTGGGGGCGGGGGGCGTAAGGAACTTGCCGCTTTCTCCAGGAAGCTCTCCCTGAGTGGCACCCCCGTGCCCCCACATTGGAGTCGGAGCTTCTCTGTGCTGGCAGAGCCGTGTGGGCTCACCCTGCCCTGGCACTGTTTCGGATGGCCCGAGGGCAAGGCTGTCCTTGTTCCCAGGGCGCCCTGAAGCTCCCCCAGTAGCTGGCACAGAATCGATGCCTCAGAGAGGTTTGGCAAATCCAGAAGGTCTGTGCCACACAGAACCTTGCGGGGCAATGTTGACATTTGGTCAAACCATATGAAAACTGGTATCCAACCATTTTTAAGCGTACATAGGTGGCAATTTCATGCATGTCAGCTGGATAAAGGATGCCACCTTGAACCTTTGGCATCCTTCAGTCCAGCCCCTAGGGAGTGGAGTGGTGGGGACAGGGAGTGAAGCAACAGAGGACGGCCAGCCAGAGCCAGGCCTGGGTTCAGAGCCCTGCCCCGGCCCGCGCTGGCTGTGTGACATCTGGCAGGCAGGTCACCTATTCTCCGAACTGAAGCTTCTGCACGTGTGAGGTGGCAGCTAAGCATGGAACTTAAAGGACGTGGTCAGCAGCAAATGTCAAATGGCAGCAAGAGTGTGAACACTCTGCTCTGTGTTGGCATGCATGGCATGCGCTCGAGAACGGGAAGTGATATGATTACCATGTGCTTCTCTGGTTGTCCTGCTCGCTTCAGCTGTGCTCGCACACCCCTGAAATGGGAGATAATGAGGTAACACCAAGCAGGCCTGTTACCTTGCTGGACTGAGCTGATATGTGTCAAGGCTTGCTCTAAACCAGTGCAGAACATCCCTGTCGCATCATCCCCAGTCCACAGCCCGACACCTGGCCAAGGGCGCCTGTAATTGGCCACATGGTCCCAGCAGGGAGGGGAAGCCTGCTTTGCTGGGTGGGGTTCAAGGCGTGCGGACAGCCCCACTCTGGCAGTAGCTAACCTGGGTTGAGAGCTTCTTCTGTTGCTTTGCTCTGAGCTATTCTCTCTGACGTGTCTCTGACTGACCCCGCTTTCTGCATCTGTCAAGTGGAACTGCGTGACACAGTCCAACCTCGCCTTGGACTCGAGCGCTAGCCATACATGAAGTCCCGAGAAGAGAGAGTGACATGGGTCAGCAGCTCCCTGTGGGAGTGTCACCCCACTGCAGGGGGAAACTGAGGCAGAAGCTACCCTAGAGACCAAGGGGCTGTTAGGGTTTATTTTGTTGCAAATATCAGTCCTTGGTATGAAAATGGGAGTATTAGCCACACTGGCCTAATCAGAGGTGATGAGGACAAATGTCCAGTGGTGAAAGCGAGTCATGTGTTTGGGAGCCCTGGGGAGGGTGGGGGCAGGGTGAAGGCACAGCCCTCTACATGAATGGTTCTCTGGCCTTGCCCGTGCGCTGCTCGCTGCAGTCCAAATAGTCTTTGGAAAATGGAAGCCTGATTTCCCCTTGCGGTCATGTCAGAGCTCGAAGACTTAATCCAGGCCTGCTAAGGTGGTTCCACCTGCCTTGGTTTCCCCTGTGACCTCAGCCCACCCACAGTCTGGGCTTTTGCTGCGATAACCTTTAACCCCTCTCAGCACCATGCTATTCCCTATCCACTAGGAGCCCCTCTGCCTGGGGTGCTCTCAGCCCCCATGGCCCAGACCTGGCTGAATCCTACTCACCCTCCAGGGCCTTCTTGAAGACCAGCCCCTCCCTCCCCGGCAGTGCTGCCTAATGGTTAGCGCAGCGGCCCTGGGCCTGCGTGCCCGTCCTGACTCGGACAGGTTCGTCTGTGTGCCTCAGTCTCCTCATCCGTACAAAAGGCAGGGCAGTCGATTCCTTGCCATAGAGTTTGGGGGAGGACTAAAGGAGAAAATACAGACGGAGGACTCAGAACAGCGCCAGGCACAAAGTGAGCGCCCGGTAATGTCAGCTATTCTCACTCTCTGTGACGTGCCCCAGGCAGCTGGACCTTTTGGTAACACTCATCATGCTTGCGATTATTCTGTTATTGCCCGTCTGCCCTGCCAGATCGAAACTTCTTGCCTGCAAGTGCTTCCCGTTCTAGGGAGGCAGAGGTCTTGTTTATCTTCATTGCCCCAGGACACATAGTCGTCAGGAAACCAGGGACAGCGTGTGGCTCTGCTGGACCCTGAGTCTTGAGTTCAGGTTGCAGCCAGCAGTTTGCTAGAGGCACAACCTTGGGCAGTACTGAACCTTGCCACCTCTGCCCGCAAAATGGGAATATTCACCCGTAAATTGCGCCTGGGCTTCCAGGTGTGAGGACCACGTGAGCTGATGCCCGCAGAGGGTTTAGCGCCCTGGCCACATGGGAGGCTCTCCGGACTGCGGGGCCCTTCACAGCACCCTTGTGTTTGTTCCCTCCCCCTGCTCCCCTGCCGCAGGCATTGAACCTGGCCACATCCCCGGCACTGTGAACATCCCCTTCACGGACTTCATGACCAGCGAGGGCATGGAGAAGAGCCCCGAGGAGATCCACCGCCTGTTCCAGGACAAGATGGTAGACCTGGCCCAGCCGCTGGTGGCCACGTGTGGCTCCGGCGTCACAGCCTGCCACGTGGCCCTGGGGGCCTACCTCTGCGGGAAGCCTGATGTGGCCATCTATGATGGCTCCTGGGTGGAGTGGTACATGCGGGCCCAGCCCGAACACGTCATCTCCGAGGGCCGGGGCAAGACCCGCTGAGCTGGGCAACATGCAACGCAGGACGCTCCGGTGATGCCCAGCCCCCAGCCGTGCCTCGCTGGGCTGTCCTGAGGCTGTTTTCACCAGAAGAGCATTTCCTCCTGCAACTCAGGTGGCGCACGGGGTGACATCCCAGAAGCCAGGAGCTCTTTTTGACGTGTGTGGGTTCCCCGTGGTGGCAGAAGCGAAGGTGGCGGTGGGCTCAGGGGAAGGGGAGCCACCCACCTGGTACTGAGCTGGGCCCCGGCTCCCTTCCGTTTTCTGGTTGAGGAAATAAAACAGCTAACGGCTAAATGCTTCTGACTCTGAGGCTGCCTCAGTTTCCTATGCAGAGGGGGCTCCGCGGAGCTTGAGGGTCTGGGGAAGCTGTCCCAGCCTATGAGCTGTGCCGGGGCCCACAGCCCTTTCATTCATGTGACCAGAGTGCCCCCAGCAAACCGCCCTCCCCCCGATACTGTCGGCGGTGGGGGGGGTCTTCCTTCTGGCTTCTGGGCTATTTAAGGTGAATCTTGCCATGCTATGTATGGAGTCCCACCCAAAGCCCCCAGTGAGTAAGTAGTACACCTCATTTCCAGACAGAGATGGGTCTAAAACCTAACCGGAGGCTGTACCATGCTGAGGCGGCCTGTCCCAGCCCATCGGGATATACTGGACAATGGCTGAGTTTAGCTAAATTGGAGGAGAATCTAATTTTTTTAATTAATTTGGGGGGATGTAATTTTAGACTCTGGGAGTCCACAGATGGAGGGTCACCTCTGGAGCTGCTGGCAGGGCGCAGACCCAAGGGAGGTCCAGGCTTTCTGCTCAAGGAGAACCGCTTCCTGCGGGCTTCCCTCACGCGGGGACTCTGTGCCCCTCCCTCTGTCTCTGTCTTCTGTGCACAGGTGGACAGAGCTGTTTGAGGAGGCCCCAAATGCTCCCCATCAGAGCCTGGGTCGCCCCTCCCCCTCTGCAGCCCCGCCCCCAAGGCACCTGTCAATAGCAAAGGGCCAGAGTCAGCCGGTATTGGGGGGGGGGGGGGGGGGGGCGGGGGGGGACCCTCGCAGGAAAAAAAACAGGGGCAGCGGCTTTCCCAAGGTGACCCAATGGGGTTACAACAGAGCCAGGACCAGGCCTGGATGTCCTGGCTCTGAATTTACTCTTCACTTACAGCCCCCATTGCATTTCCTCTGGCGGTGCCGGTCCCCTCCCGCGTGTGCGGGGCTGAGGGGACCCCACAGAATAGAATCCTGGTTTCCCGAATAAGAGCTCCAAAGTAAGCCCCAGCCTCACTGAGCCTCAGCTGCCTCAGCTGTAAAATGAGGTATAATAGGTCCTTTGGAAGAAGGGATTTCAGGCAAGGACCAAGCCTGGGGCCCGGAGCAGGGGCCGTCCTTCTAGCTCAGGGTGTCTCGGCCTCATACGGGAACCGGTGGGCCAGATCACTCTTGGTTTCAGGGCTGGCCTGTGCCCTGTAGGATGTTTAGCAGCATTTCTGCCCTCTACCCACTAGATGTCAGTGGACCCCCTCAGTTGCAACAACCAACACCGTCTGTAGATGTGACTAAATATCCCTGGGTGGGTGGGGGGCAGGGCAAAAATCACTGGCAGCTGAGAACCACTGCTGTAGGACCACAGCAGTCGGGAGCAGCCTAGACGGGGATCTCAGCATGGAGAGAGCCCTTCCCCTGGAGGCTGTGGGAAGCAGCCAAGAACCTTCCTTTTGTGCTGGTTTCAGACAAGCCCCGTTGTCTCTCCCAGGAAGGTCCCTGCCTCTCCAAGGAGCAAGGTTTTTCTGCGAACACATGGGAGCCTCGGATCTGGCTTCTGTCTCCACTGTCCCATGCAAGGCTGCCTGATCTTAGACACATTTCTGGTTTTATTTATTTATTTATTTTAGAGAGAGGGGAAGGGAGGGAGAAAGAGGAAAAGAAACATCTATTGGTTGCCTCTCGCATGCCTCCAGCTGGGGATCTAGCCCACAACCCAGGCATGTGCCTTCACTGGGAATTGAACCAGCGACCTCTCAGTTTGCTGGCCAGCGTTCAATCCATGGAGCCACACCAGCCAGGGCTGTATCTCTGAGCCTTGGTTTCTTCATCTTTAAAATGGGAGTTAAATAGTACCTTCCCTGAGCAATATGGGAACTGAATGGGAGGATCCACAGAAACTTTTTAGCTTCTTGCAGGGCACAGAGTAAACACCAACAGTTTCTGTTACTTTTTAAAAGACTTACTTATTCAGCATGTTGAGTGCCTCCTATACTCTCAGAATTGGGGGAGAGGGAGCAAGGAAATTGAGAAGACGAGCTCAGAGAGGTTGAGTGATTTGCGTAAGGGCACACAGCTAGTTCAAGAGAGGAATTTAACTGGAGTTAAAATCCTCAGGGTAGGAGCTTCTCCAGTGAGCCTTGCCTGCCTGTGGTGGTTTTCCAGATCTCAAGATCAAGGGAAGACGGAAGTGTAACTCAGGGTTGGGAACACATGTGACAAACTCATGTAAGGTGGCCAAGAGTCTCCCCAGCTCCATGAGGAGACACCTTGAGCTGTGGGATATAAGCAAGGGTGCTCTCTGTTACGCTCCCTTTGCTCACCCCAGTCCACCCGCCCAGCCAGGTGCCGAGGCTGGTCTGAGCGAGGGCCGGTCCTCCTCCACAGGTCTGGACGCGTTCAGAGGAGCCCTGCCCAGAGACAGGAGAAAGGAGTGGAGCCGTGCCTTCTAGTATTCTCAGAACTTCCCTTTAGCTTTATGGGTGAGCCCTGAGCTCCTCCCTGCCTCCTAGAAGCCTGATTTCCCAGAATAATTAACCATGCACATCCACTGCGCCAGCGCCGTTGCAGGCGGGAGCTTGCAACAGCGGCCGGGCTGGGATGACGAAATTGTTGTCTACTCGGTAAATACTTGCTGAGCACCCCCTCTGTGTCAGGGACAGTTGGAAGTTCCCCAGCCTGTCTAACCAGGTGTAGTGGAACAAGGCCATTCTCTGGGTCGCTCCCTTAAAGGATCATGGCCCAAAGAAGCCCTGCCCCTCACTGGGATCACTTCTGCGCAAGGCCCCAGAAGGCCTGCCTTCTAGACCCTTCCGGTTGGGGCCTCAGTCGTCACCTCTGAAAAATGGGAGGAAACTCGGCCCTGCCAAGCACCCACACACAGGGTGGGTGTGATGTCAAATAAGGTAAAGCTAAAAACAATAAGATGTCACTCCTGGAATAACCGCAGCTGTGTAAGCAGAACGGCACTTTATTACCCTTCACTCACGGCAAATGAGTCACTCTGGAGGAGATGAAGTTTTCAGGTTAACTGACACTTTAGAATTTTAAGCACCAAACTCTTTAACATGTTGAACTATGAGGGGGTGGAACATCGCGTGCTGAGGCCACCTGAACTCCCAGGGGCTTTGTTTCACCACTTCATCGCACAGCGATACCTTCAGGGACTGTTTGCCTCGGCCCTAAATGGCCCCAACGGCTGTACCTTGCGAGGGCTCCGGTCCTTGCCACTCGCTCTCGCGTCCAGCTCCAGCGTCCCCACCCGCTTCGAAGTGGGCGCGCTCGCTCTGGGGGATGCCTCCCATCGAGTGGCTTAACCCACTGAGTTGAGCTGGTGGGGACTCTCAGATCTGGGCCAGCAGCAGCGGGCCGCACTCAGACCCCCGTGCCCACTGCCTGCTCTTCTGTCCGCATCCGCTGACTCAGAGCGCATGGCCACCACGCAGGGGTCACCCATGCCCAGACCTGGCGGTTCTCTGGCAGATCCCAGGTTAGGGCTGGGATGGGAATCCTGGATGGAATCCTGGAGTGGCATTCAGCTACTGCAAGACAGAACTGGGGAGAGGGTTATAGGAGAGAAGTGGGGGTTCTCTCTGGGTAGGGGGGTTCATAAACCCCCCGCAGAGGTACTCTCACGCACGCGTGCTCACACCTGTGTTCACAGGTGAGGACGAAGGGAACCAGAGGTAAACTGATTTATGGGCTAGATGTGCACTCGGGTCCACTTCCTAGGACTCTTGTGTGAGACATGCACTCCCTCTCTTTAAAGCATGTAGTAGCAATCAGCAGAGAAGAAAAGCACAACTGGCTGCAAGCATGTGCCACACTGCAGAATTGCGGGGCTCGGGATGAGGTAGGGGGCCTCCAGGAATGCCCGGGTGAGCTGGGTACCAGGGAGGCTTCCCCGAGCCGGTGCGGTGGGGAGAGCTGTTAACCCAGGGACAGCAGTTTGTGTATACTTTCTTCTCGCCTGTCTCCTGCCGGCCTTTGCTCCCTCTCACCCCTGCCTCCCATAGCCTTTCCCCATTTCTGAACCACGAAAGGCTTAAGCAATCACTTAGACATCTAGTGAAACAACATACACACTTCCTCATGATCCAGCAATCCCGCTTCCGGGAGTTCGCCTTGAAGACACCTTTCCAACAATATGAAAATACTGATGCATAACTGAGTTGCTTATTACGGCATTGTCTGTAATTGTAAAACATTGGGGAGCACCTCAAGGTAAACATACGGAAGAACGTTTGAATGAGCTATGGTCGGATCACACAACGGAGCCCCACGTGGATGTGACCAGAATGAGGGAGGGCTCTGCGAAATGTGCAGGCTGACTTCTAGGATGTATTGCTAAGTGCAAAAAAAGCAAAGGTCAAGAGGGCGTCCACAGTGTGCTGCCTTTTGTGTACAAAAGAAGGGACAATAAGAAAATAGCCGTGTATCTGCTCATTCCCGCAAAAAGAAACACAGGAAGGATCAACCAGAAACTCATGGGACTGGCTGTCCGTGGGGACGGGTGGGGGCAGGATGAGGCACTTGAGGTGGCACTTGTCTACTTTTCTGAATGTGACTTCTTCCATCCTCTGACTTTTAGAACTGTGCTGGTTCATGTAGCCTAGAAAATAAACTAACAAGGAAGGAGAGAATGAAATGGTAATACCCATAGGAACAAGTGAACCTAATGGTGCTTCAAATAAGTAACAAACAGAACTGGGGAAAACTCACCCCATGACCTCCCCCACCCACCCGAGTGATCCCCGACTGTGGTATTCGGGCTATTTTTATTATATATCCTCAGTAAACAGACAAAACAAAACAACAAACACCCTGGAAATAACTACTGAACTCTTTTTATAGGTTTGTTTTTCACAGAACTATGGGTTACCAATTATGAGACAGACCAGGACTGAGCAGTAGCGCGGGTCCGGGACAGTGGCCCTACCGGAGAGAGGAAAAACAAACCGGGGTGGGATCCGCGGAGCAGGGCTGCAATTGGAGGTACCAGCGTGAAGTCAGGGTTTCTAAGGCAGCTGTAGAAATAGATCGAGT